AAAGTGTGTTTAGTGATGGAGGGGATAGTCCTGGCAGAGAGATGCTAGTATTATGAGTGTATGGGCTTTGTGGAGGCAGCATAGGTGTGGGGTCAGAAATATATGGCAGAACTAGAATTTGGACATTGTCTGTTGTCATGCGTCTCTTTTGCATGTTACAGTCCAGGTACACTAAACTTATTTCAACTTCTCAACAGTGCCCTGCTCTCCTGAGCCTTTGGAACTCTGCGTTAGCCCTTTTCTCTGTCTGGAACATGTTCTCTACTCAACCCCTGCCCCGTGAGCTGACCCCTACCATTCATCCTTCAGACTCTAATTTTAGCCCTTCAGGAAACTTCTGACCCTGAAGTCTGGATTAGGTACCACTTCTATACATTCCAAAAGCACCTTTACTTTTCTGTCTTAACACTGATCATGGAGTACTGTCACTGCATGCTTTGCCGTCTATCTGCCCTGCTAAACCGTCTAGTTGTTTGCATCTTCAGCACCTAACATGGTGACTGGCATATAGTAAACGTTGAATGCATATTTTAAAAATTTAATTGGTGGAACAGATAAGGTGAAAAAAAGTGAGGGCAAACACTTCAAACAGACCTATGGGGTAAAACATGATAGCTAATTGAATAAGAACTTGAGAAGAAGGCAACAGGTTGGTTATTAAAGGGATGAGCGTACAGATATGTGATTCCAAAGGTAGGTACAAAACTGACCTCTAGGGCAAGGAACTGATGGATGCAAGATATTCCAAAGTACCATATTCCAAATTCCAAACCAAGCTCAAGACCAAGGGTATCTGTTCAAACACAATCTGAGCAGGTTGTCAACGTAGGTTCAAGTGTCAGATAATGGATGTTGTTACTGGGACTGTGCCACCAGTCATGAGAAGATTGAGGTTTAAGAGCTGAAAATCTGATCTCTGTGTTGGAGAGTGCTGGGAACAGAACTTGGGAAACAAGAGGTCACCAAGGAGTAAGGCAAGAAATCAGTTCCTAAGAAATTAAAATATCAAGGTCAGAGCAGGATGACTGTATAAGCAGGAATTGGATAGAAGAGTTACATGGAAGGGATCTAGACAAAACATTATATATTGTGTGTGTGTGTCTTATAACATTATAACATGTGTAATAAGACAGATGATAGACATTCTAGATGACTGTTTCTGGATCTAACAGCTAAAAACAAATTTGGAAGTCGGTAGATCCATGTTTAATATTTTTTATATATGGTACAAGCGTGGAGGAGGAGAAGGAGGAATAAACTATGAAATATAAATACAGTTTAATTGTACTTTATTTTTTAGCATATAGGCAAATAGTACTAGACAGCCTTCCAAGGGCAAACATTTGATAAATAAAATATATAATAACATAAATTATAATAAAATATATAATATATTATAACTATATATAACATGCATAATTATATATAATATATAATGTATAAAATACATAAGAACTTGCTAGCACCAAAGTTTATGTTTTTGGTGTCCTTAAATGTAAAAAAAAAATTAAATACTCATGTACATGATCTATAGAAACATAGACTACTTTGGTCTTATTTACAAGTTACTATATTATTACTAAGTTAATTATCTTCTGAATTCTAATTCATCTCAGGGTAGAAAACACCTAATTACATACAACCAGTAATTTATGCAGATAATGCACAAATCACATGATTTTTATACAACATATAATTAAATGCATCTTTTTTTAAGCTTTCGGGTGCTATTGAATTATGTACCTAAATTAAAAGATTATAGAAGCAAATTCACGTTAATTGGTGACAATAACAACAGCCTGTGGCATCACAACATCTGTTCAGCCAACAAGACCACTGGCTCAACCATGTCACTTTCTGCAGAAGCCCCAATCTTTATGATCCAATTTCTTTCTTTTTTTTAAATACTGCTGAGCAATTGTTTTGTTTTGTTTTTCTTTTTTTTTGCTGGGAAAGATTTGCCCTGGGCTAATATCTGTTGCCGATCTTCCTCTCTCTTTTTTTTTCCCCTCCCCAAAACCCCAGTACATAGTTACATATTCTAGTCGTAGGTTCTTCTAGTTCTTCTACATGAGCTGCCACCACAGCATGGCTACTGACACATGAGTGGTGTGGTTCCGCGCCCAGACACAGAACCCAGGCCACCAAAGTGGAATGTGCTGAACTTTAACCACTAAGCCAGCAGGGCTTACGAGCCAGTCTCTTGAGGCAGTATGCGTAGTCGTCAAAGTGTAGACTCTGAAGCCTGCTTTCCAAGTCCAACTGCCCATCTTGCTAGCTGTGGCCTTTCAGAAAGTTACTTAACCTCTATGTGCCTCATATTTCTCATCTATAAAATGGGAATGATAACAATACCTGTTTCTTTGTTGTAAAGATTCAATGAGTTAATGTAGATGTACATGATGACAAAAGCACATAGCATTTAGCTCAATGAATGTCAGCTATCTGTCTGTGTTATTACATCCTCTCTCTCTTGTGTTCAGAGAGAGCCCACTCCCTCCACCCTACAAGAATACTGCACTCTCCAAGCAACCAACTTCCTTTCTCCTCTTATATTTCCTTCTTATGACACCTGGGGGTGAGAAGGGTGGTGTCTAGGCCACTTCTGGCATTTCCCAGCATGCCCTGTGGAGCAGTGGCTGACCTCTTGGCTGGACTTTCTATGAGTTTCGAATGTGGGGTACTTAGTGCCTTTGGTTCTCAGCTTTGGGCTCTGCCGCCATTCTGGGACAAGAGGAAAAAGCCCATTTGGCAGGCTGTCATGCCACTTGGTGAAGCTTAAACATTCAGCCTTCCAAAGTGGCTTGCTTTCTGCATGATCAGAGAAAGTATTCACCTCACCCAGTTTAACACAATGTTTGTCAAACAGAGGACAGGAAACCTTGGCTTCACTCGAGTATTATGTAAGGTTCCAAAAATCCTTTTTTTTTTAAAACTCCCGTGAACACGGAGATCTCTAGCCTGCCCTTCTCTGCCTTTTCTCCAGGGGATTGCATGGGTCATAATATTTTGAAAATCATAGTTTTAAATGTCTAGTTAGTATTTTAAACCTTACATTGCTGGAACTTTCTGCTATCACAGTGTAAATCTCATTTCCCCAAGCAGGTTCCTTAACTGATGTGCTGTAATCAATTGAGCTACTGTTGCTTTTTTGATGTTTATTTTCTTGTTAGGTTTTTGTTTTTTTCAGCTGAAAGCTTTCCTCTAGATCTGAAGTTGTGTTTGGCATTTTCCTCTGGAAAGAAGTTGTGTTTAAAAAACACAAACAAATTTGCAGTTGGCATAAAATAAAAACAAATAGAAAATGTTGGCTGAAAACTCCATATTCACAAAGTTTTCCAGAGGCAAATGTTATAGCTAATCATCTCCACATTTGCCTGGAAAATAGTCTGAACCTCAGGAGTCTTTACTATTCAGCTCTTTGGTAGGAGATTAAATGCAAGCAAAGAACCACTTTCCTAACAAGGTTAAAATCTGCTTACTTTAATGAAAAGTGTTGTACAATATACTCGACCACAAGCTGTAAGCTTTTGGACAACATTGAACTAATTTTAGGTAATCATTTTCCCATTGTTTTTCTTCTTGTTCAATTGCCAAACAGGATCTTTTTTATAATCCAGCACATATAAAGAACACTTGGGCTTCTGAATCTCAAAAATAAATATGTGGATAAAGCCAAAATCATTACAAAGATAAACATCTCACCAAAGCAGTGGTATATTATTGGTCTCAACCTGGTAAGGGCTTTAGAAAGTGACAAAGGTTCTTTGTTTTCTTTTCTCTTCTGATTCCTATTGGCTATTCAATCTACTTAATGTGCAGTATATTTTGTTTGTAACAAAACAGAATTGTAGATAATTTGGCATCAAAACAATGAAAATGAAGAAAGAGCTTAAAAATATGCTAAAAGAATGGAATTATCCAATCAGGAACAGAAAGTGTTTTTTTAAAAAGGAAAACAACTAACAAAATGATAAGGGTAAAATGTGAAAGTTAACAATGCTAAATTATGGTATTTTTACTCAAAAGTCTGTGACTGGGCATTCTTGAGACTATGTCTTTATAGTGGCACTGCTTCAACAACCACCCTAAAACAGAGCTTCCTGGGCATCTCAACAATAGTGAAGTCCATGCTCGCCATATCCCCTAAGTCTGTACAGATTGGCCGAGATGAGACCCAATGGATATTAATTTATCCCACCGTAAAGTGGCTTAAGAAACAGATATTACTTTTTTGGTGACTAATTGGTAGCTATGTTGGCTTCAATCATCAAAGAAATATCACGGCAAAGAAGAATGCAGGGATACAAGGAGTAGTAGAAGCTTGCAGTTTTTAGCAAAAACATCTAAGAATGCATGGACTGTTAGAACTTACAGTGGGTTAGTAAAAACTCTGTTGAGACTGGGAGGTTATAAGAATGTAAAAGAATATTACTATTTTGAGTTCATTTTCAGATGTTCATAATGATTTACAATCCTCTAAGTCAAGCTAACCCACTTTAAATTATTTGTTTGATGTTATATATTTCTACTTTTATTTTAGCTTCATAGGAGAGATAAATTCCACTATTCTGTCTGATAAAGCTAAAGTTCCACTTATACTACTGTAATTAACTGAACACATGTAATTTTTGTTTTCCACAGAAATTAGAAATGAGAAACCAGATCCCTACTTCACTCCTTTTTTTTTTTCTGATCAGATCAAGGAGTCACATGATAATTAGATACTAGGAAAGGAAATAGGACTTGCCTAATATCTACTGGAAGATGTACAAGATGCAATTTTTAAAAGCTGATTATCTACACCACGTGTTTATCTGTCTCCATTAGTATTGAGTAATCTTATTCAGAGGCTCCCATAAAAAAAAAAAAGACACATAATAAATTTTACATTATCTTGTTTTGCAAACAGATTGTTCCGAGATTTTCAATGATGGGTATAAGCGCAGTGGATTTTACAAAATCAAGCCTCTCCAGAGCCCAGCAGAATTTTCTGTTTATTGTGACATGTCTGATGGAGGAGGATGGACTGTAATTCAGAGACGATCTGATGGCAGCGAGAACTTTAACAGGTGTGCTAATTATGACCTAAGCATTTATTTGGAGTAGTAAATGTGAGATTTATAATAAATAAACCTTTTTATTATATTCTGAAGTCTATTAATTAGACAGAATTTCACTCTTCCTAAATAAGATACTGAACATTCATTAACTAATCAAGAAAATATCGGGGGTGAGGGTGCCAGTGGGGGGTGGGCATCTTGGGTACTGCAAAGGTCCATTTGGATTTTGCTAAAATCAGCTTTCACTTTAAATTTTTTAGAGGCTGGAATGACTATGAAAATGGCTTTGGGAATTTTGTCCAAAAAAATGGTGAATATTGGCTGGGTAATAAAAATCTTCACTTATTAACCACACAAGGTAAGGTTTGCCTGATATCAAATTCATTTGAAATACAATAAAAAGAACACGAATGTGTTTTTTACTAAATCATAGGCAATGGAACTAATTCAGTAACCACTATGATTTGCAGATGGTAATGATCCCTTCCAGGCGATAACCCCCTTTGTGAAATGTGGCTGCTTAAAACTATGAATAGGGGAAAAGAAACTAGACCTGGATTGGGTGTGGGGTATTTCTCATATTTATATTTTCCATTTTTGGGAAGGAAATGTAATGTTATAGTCATTCTTTTTTAAATGCCTTGAGGGCCTCAAAATGTATATGTTGTATCAGTTATCTATTGCCACAATAATACTGTGTAACAAGCCACTTCAAAATTTAGTGGCTTAACACCATAACCATTTATTATTTCACACAAATCTACAAGTTGGCTGAGTGGTTCTGCTGATCAGGGCTGCACTCTTCTGATCTTGGCCGGGCTTCCTCACGGGTCTGTGATCAACTTCCTGGTCAGCTGGAGACTGGCTCTTCTAGGTTGGCCCCAGATGGAAAGATTCAGCTCTCTGCTCGACATACGGTCTCTCATCTTCCAGTTAGCTAGCTTGGACTTGTTCTTGTAGCACAGGCAGTGTTGCAAGAAACAGAGTGAGACTTACACTCAGAACTCCCCCATGGTCGTTTTCACTGCCCTCTATTGGTGAAAGGAAGTCACAGGACCAGATGTAAGGGGAAAGGAAATAGACTTAACGGGAGGCATTACAAAGTCACAGTGCAAAGGGAGAAGTGAAGAATTGGGACTGGAGCTGCTTTTGCAGTCAAATACCAGAATATACTAAATGTCCTTGTTACCATTCCACCCTCAAATTTTATTTTGAAAAATTTCAAAGCTACAGCAAAACTGAAAGAAGTTTCAACCTCCCACCTAGATTCCACATTAACATTTCACTACCCTTGTGTTTATCCCATATCTATCCATCTATCCATCCATCCATTTTATTATTATTTTTGACACACTTCAAAGTAAATTGCAGACATCTGTACAATTTCCCCTATATACTTACTCATGGATATGTTTAGAGTTCAATATTTGTCTAAAATGTCATTAGTTTGATAACAAATTGTTCAAGCTTCTCTTTCCCATATTCCTTTGCTCCAAACCACTGCCTTCCTTACCTCAGTTGCAGTCTGAGATCATAGTCAGTTCTACTCAGGTCTGATTCTGAATGTTTCATAAAATGCAATTGTATCGCTCAAGAAAGCATGCTAAATCACACTGGCAACACATTAAGTATAAGAGCAAGGGTTTACTTGTTCCATTCAAGTTAAGGAAAGCGATTGATGTTTCTATATTCATAATAGTCAGTAGGATTATAATTATAAAGATCTCTGAGACACCAGAATAACAGCTTAGAAAAGATGGATAATCCTAGACGCCCAATACTTTGTCCTTCTTGTGCTCAATGCTCTCTAAATTTTAACGTATTTATTATCCTACTTTTAAGTGTTTCACGATAAATATATAACATTGATCCTACCAGCTTCTGTTTCTTTCATACATTAATATATATCTGGTTTCTTATTGAAACTATGACAACCCTTGGCTCCTTCTAAATATACAAAATTCAAACATTATTTTTCAAATTATAAAGTGCTTATTTGCTCAGATGCACTTTGCCAACACATTTGCTTCCCCCTCATGTTTTGATTGGTGTTCAGGCTGGCTACTCTCTTGGTAGCAAAAATGTATTTATCAGTTCCAGGCTTCGTGACCACATATCATATCATCCCGAGGAAAAACAGCGCCGTGTCCCTGCATTCTTTAATTATGAGAGCACTTAAGGCTAAGGAATTGCCTTTGAAAATAGCTTTATCTCCATTACATAAATTTTGGCTGGAAGTGTTCGCAATAAAGTTAATTTAGAAATGGCCTGTAATTGCATTTTTATTTACATATTGATATTTAGATTACAAAGAGATATTTAGATGGTTACCTAAAAATTGAGACTGACTTTATATCTCTTCTATAATACAAAGTATTTTTTAGGAGAGTTAACTTAGCCTGCCTTACTGCTCCCGTCCACTTCACCGTCTTGGCCTACATAACCTTTACTGCCTTTTGATCAGGTTGGAAGGGGCTCTTTCTTGGAACCCCACTTTAGAGAGCTCCATGGGATGAGGAATCTGTGGGGCCAAAGCGCCGAGGCCAATAGGCGCTAGACTCTCTTTAGGAAGGGGGAGTCCAGCATTTCCTGCCCAAACAGCCTTGAGCTTATCTCCAGAGTCCATTCATGCCTCTTCATCTGTCCCCCTGTGAGAAAACTGTGTTGCTGGTGTGTGTACTCCTAAGCCTGAGGGGAGGTGAAGAAACAGCTTTTATTGTGGGTGTAAACGAACTTGGATGTGCAGCCTAGAATGTCCACAGGTGTGGACAAGACTGTGCTGTGCGTGATGGAGATAGGGTTGGGAAGAGAAGGGAGCCTGACCATAGACCAGGCCTGGTGATGGGGCCCAGGGGTCTTATAGATCATTGTCTAAATAGGAGGATAGAACATCTATTATTTAACAGTTAGTTTGATTTATAACTTTCTATGAAACCTGACAATAGTTCTGTTTCTGAAAAGGAATAGTCTTGGTTATTTGCAAATGACGAGATGGTGAGGAAATATGATTACTTGAAAATACCAGCTATTTTAGTCATTATTTATATTTAAGATAAACATTCTTACCAAAATTAGGAAAGAGAGGATAAACGTTTAAACTTCTTAAAACTTATTCTTTCATTGTTAGATTTCTTAATCTATTAACTAAATAGTAACTTATTTTCTGTTGTTCTTTGCCCAGTGAATTGCACTAACTTTTAGCTATGATGGATCTAGTGGAAATTTCTACCTTTACTATTGTGTCCCTAATTTTTTTCAAGTAAAATACACAATAAAATGTTCATGTTGTAAACACAATGGAGTCACTGTTTATTCTTTGAAAACTGATTCATGGCAGAAGGAAATGGTCTAAGTAAAATAGATCCATGTGTTGTTTTTAAACCTCAGTAAGTCAATGTCATCTCACACATTAAAAAATCCACAATTTCTTGATTTTTTTTTTTCAGGAGACTACACTTTAAAAATCGACCTTGCCGATTTTGAAAAAAATAGCTGTTATGCACAATATAAAAATTTCAAAGTTGGAGATGAAAAGGTACTAAAATTTTCAAATAAGTAACATCATGAATTAATGTGTAAAACATACAGTATAGACCCTGAAGTCTGTTGAAACAAAAATATACAATAGGACCTATTCTTTTGTTTATTAAATCAACCTACTTTTTAAACAGTGACAACTAATAGTGGAAATTGCCTCTTTTCCTTTAGAATTCCTATGAGTTGAATATTGGAGAATATTCTGGAACAGCTGGAGACTCCCTTACAGGGAATTTTCATCCTGAGGTGCAATGGTGGGCTAGTCACCAAGGAATGAAATTCAGCACGTGGGACAGAGATAATGACAACTACGAAGGGAACTGTGCAGAAGAAGATCAGTCTGGCTGGTGGTTTAACAGGTTTGACATTTTATAAACATAGTTGTAATGGTATTGATGATATCTCACTGGTGGGCATTAATTAGAATATATGAGGTAGTGTTGGTCTTCTTTGTAATAGTGGTTTTATTAAGGAACCATCCTTATTAGAATCCTTCAGTGATAAAGTATTTTTGAGGATTTGTTCATTGTGTACATTAGTGAAGCTTGAAAGATATGTCATAGAAATAAATCAAATTACTACTTTTACAAAGATTGTTTGCAAACCGAATTATGGATGAGTTATCATAAATAGTAAGCCACAGATGGACATGAAGAAACAGAAAGCATTTATATATAGGTAAAATATTTTTGGCATTCTAATAACCAAGTGGCTCTTCACCCTCTCCTGTCATACAAAATGGCCATGTTATTGTCAATTTTTCAATGTAATACTACTTTTCAATTACCATGACTTTCACTAAATCATTGAATCCGGGCTCCTCCCAATGCAGAAATTTCCTCTACAGTATCCTAAAACCTAATTACACCCTCTGATTGAATCCTTCAATGTTACTTTATCAGCAAGCTCATTCCATTTTTGATGGTACTAAGTTCTTCCTTGTATTAACTGGAAATCTGCCTTCTTATACTTCGCCAGTTTTTTCCCTCTGTAGCTACAAAGTAATTATAATCCCTTTTCAACATAACTCTTCGGGCACTGGATGAGAAGATATTTATTGTATTCCTCAATATTTTCTCTTCTCCAGGCCAGATAGTTCTGATTCCTTTAACTGTTCTCCACCCAAGATGTTTTCCAGACAGCTCCCTTTGTTGTAATCAAAAATTTAAGGCAGGAGTGGAAACTTCAAACAGTCTTCCTTAAAAATAACCTGATGAGCCTGCTATGTCTGCAAAGCAGATGTGCTCAAACTGTTCGGCAGTCACGAGCTTTGAACGTCTTCTGTTCTCTTTGGAAGACAGGGGCCATCTCAAAATATCTGGACATTTAAACTTTCCCTTACAGAATCTTTGAGTAAGTATTTCTGGAGTGTCAGGTTTTCCATGTAGTTGAGGACTATCCATTTAAGTTCACAATCCAAATTTTAACTTTTTTTGTTATGGAAGTACTTTCAAAGCATTTAAGCATCCTCTGTCTTATTAAGTGGAGGTATACCAGACATATATTAATTTTCCCTAAAATCATGAGAGTCTTCATTACGAACATCAGTTATTGTGACGTGCTGATTTTAGAGTTGTAGATTCTGTGGAGCTACAGTTAGTGAGTGTGGTGTGTCAAGTTGAGTCTAAGTAGTAAAAAGAGTATTTTCTCTGGATTTTGCTTTTTACAAAGTTTGAGTCCATTTAATTTTTGGTCATTTGCAAAGAAACTGGAATACACACAGCAGTGAGAAGGGACAGAGAAACAAAGTTATCTTTCCTACTTAGCAAATCAAAGGTGATGATAGTCTTTTCCCTAGAGATTTTCTTGTTCTTTTAAAAACCATTTTTATCACCTCTTCCTCCTCCTTTTTCTTCCCCTGTCCTTCTAAGTTAGCATTATGTAAAAATTATCAGCATTATGTAAAACTTAACTACAATTCATGAAGTTGCAACATGCCTTACTGTTTGATTTTTGAACAGAATTCCATATACAGAAGTAACAATCACATTGGTTAATATTACTATGAGCTCAAAACCATGTACCCACCCAGCTGATTGGCTTGACAACTAGCGCACATATTAACGTGGGCAAATAAATGATTTACTTGACTTTAAAGATATGAGTTCAGAGAGGACAAAGGAAGGCGATTCAGTAGCTGGAGCCACCCAAGGAGCCTGCATTATCCTTGGAGTTAAAGGAGATGATAAGGCTGTGCAGACGGAAAAATCAGAAAAACTGGAAAAAAAGCCAATTGTTCCAGAAGCTTGGTGCTACTTCTACCATGCCTGCTACTACTGTAGTTTAACTCTATCATCCTACAAGCCGTTCTTTCTCTAATCGCTGAGTGTTGATGTCTTCTTCTCTGCTTTGCTGGTGTAGCATCTCATGTGAGTGCTCATAGCTGCTTCTTCCCCAAGGGAGCCCAAACATCTCCCAATCTAGTTTC